CGGCCGCGGGGCAAGCGCCCCACGTCGGGGCGGCCCTGGAGGAGGCGCTGTGCCAGCGTTGCTGGCTCCTGACCCACCACCAGAAGGCCCTGCGGGTGCGGATGTCCCCCGAGGAGTACCGGCAGCGGGTGAGCGCCGCCCTCCAGCGCCGCCCTCCGCAGCCCCACGGGCGGCCCCCGCTGGTCCTCTACCTGGCCGACCTGCTGGACCTGCCGGACTCGGTCCTGCCCGACCTGCCGGCCCTGGTGGGGCCTTCGGCCCACGTCTTCGTGCTGGGCAACAAGGTGGACCTGCTGCCGGGCGACTCGCCGGGCTACCTGAGGCGCCTCCGGGAGCGCCTGCGGGACCTCTGCGTCCAGGTCGGCCTGGTGGAGGCCAGCCGGCCGGGAGGCGACGACGCCGACGACGGCCGGAGCAGGAGCAGGAGGAGCGCCGGGCGGGTGGTGGACGTGCACCTCATCAGCGCCCGGACGGGCTACGGGGTGGAAGAGCTGATCAACAAGCTGCAGAGCTCCTGGAAGTTCAACGGGGATGTCTATCTGGTGGGGAGCACCAACGCGGGGAAGTCGACCCTCTTCAACACCCTCCTGCACTCGGACTACTGCAAATCCAAAGCCTCCGATGTCATCCGCAGGGCTACCGTCTCCCCTTGGCCAGGTCAGGGAGGAAGGAAGGAAGGGAGGGAAACGCCCGCTGGGGTGGATTTTGTTAGCTGCCCAGGCGCTCCAGCAGGCCACTCAGGGGAAGCTCTGGTGGGCTCCTTCCTTGCCAGCGGTAATGATGGAAGGCTTTGGTATAGCACCGGAGAGAATGAAGGTGCCCCACACACAAGCAAGAGCGCATGTACATTGGTCAAGGGGTAACTCTGCCCAGGAGCTTACGTCCTAGCAACTTGTGGGGCTGTGCTTTCTTTCACACAATCAGGTCCAATGAGAAAGCACATTTGAGATGAAGCAAGTGTCAGTACACACAAAAAAAGAGCTAGCATTACAGCAAACTTTAGTCTTTTATGTGTGGTGTAGTGGAGCTTGGGCTCACTGGTGTGGAATACTGGGACTTTCTCCTTATTAGGGTGGGTTACCATCAGTAAGTCCTACACCTTTGATCAGGAGGCACTGGTAGTATAAATGCTGTTTGTTTCTTTCAGCTCTTAAATTCCTGACTGATTTGTATCAGGCAAATTCAGGTTGTGATGGGTTTTTTAAAAATTTGTGGTGCATGCAAACCACACTTTCGTGTTACTGGGACAAAATCATAAATGGTTGCATGTTATGAATCACATGAGGGATGTTCCTCTTATGTTATGCAGAAAGTGGGCAAAAGGGAGAGAAAGTGTTCAAGGCTTGCTGTAGTTTCTCAAGGTTTATGGTTTGTCCTTACATCTAAGTAGTGTAGTATAGACAATATTAACTGGAACTGCCAACGGAGATATGGGTCTGATACTCAGTTGCTTGCCAGAGACCAATTACCTCATTAGGTTACAGTTAAGGTGAGATTTAACCAGTAAGGGCCAGCGCTTTCTGGCCATGGAGGAAGTTGGAAGACATCCTCTCACTGCCTGTTAAGTTCTATAGAGCAGAGGTCCCCAACCTCCAGTCCACAGCCCAGTGCCGGTCCGTGATCTGAGCCGGACAGGCCACGGAGACAGACCTCCCCTGCCATACAACCTGTTTGTTCCTGCGCGCATGCACCTGCATGTACATGAGTGCTTCCCCACCCCTTCACGCATGTGCACAAATGCCCCCTGGCGCTGTGCCGCCCTTTGCGCATGTGCCCGCCTTCCCCAGCTGATCCGTGGGGCTAAAAAAGTTGGGGACTGCTGCTATAGACTGAGGATACCTTCTAAAAGACTACAGCTCCCAGGAGACACCATGACAGCTTCCTTTTTTAAAAAACAAATTGACAAATAGAAGGAAAAGTTGGAGAACCTATTGGTGGATTCTCCCGATTCTAACCATGCACGTTGTGGGGTGTGTGTTTTTTTTCTAGGAACTACCTTGAACCTTCTGAAATTTCCAATCATTACTCCTACACCTTATAGAATATTTCAGAGGAAAACAAGGCTGCAGGAAGATGCAAAGAAAACAGAGGACGATCTCAGTGAAGAAGAACAAAAACAGCTCCAGAAGCTCAAAAAATACGGTTACTTAATAGGTATGTACTTCAGCAACAATAACTTGAAGTAATCATTTTCTCTATTACTTTATCAGTCTCTCACATCATTGTGGAGTTATTTTACAACCTTGCTTCAGTTCATTGAGGCTTGCAGGTATTTGTTTAGTGCACAGCGGTCTTAAGGTCCCACCACAGCATTTCAGTCAGGTTGACATCTGGATTCTGACTGGGCAACGGAAACACCTTGATTGTCCCCTCCCCCCCCCCCAAAAAGCCATTCTGTTGTAGATTTGCTGGTATGCTTGGGATCACTGTCCTCTTGCATGACCCAATTTTGGCCAAGCGTTAGCTGTCAGAAAGTTGCCCTCACATTTAACTGTGGAATACTTGGGTATACAGAAGAGTTAATGCTTGATTCAATAACTGCAAGGTGCCCAGTGGGTCTTGTGGCTGCAAAAGGACCCCAAATCATCACTCCTCTACCACCGTGCTTGACAGTTGGTATGAGCTGTTTTGTGTTGATTTTTTGTATTTGGTTTTTGCCGAACATGGTACTATGCTTTATGGCCAAACATCTCCACTTTTGGTCTCGTCTGTCCAAAGAACATTGTTCCAGAAGTCTTATCATTTGTCCAAATGCAACTTTGCAGAACTCAGCCATGCTGCCCTGTTCTTTTTAGAGAGAAGAGGCTTTCTGCTGGCAACCCTTGCAAACAAACCATACTTGTTCAGTCTCTTTCTAATCACACTGCCATGAGATTTAACACTGAACATGCTAAATGTTACATGCTGAGTTCCGTAGAGTCTGATACTTAACTCTTGGGGTTTTTTTTGCAATTTCTTTGAGCATTGCATGGTCTGACCTTGGGGTGAATTTGCTTGGACGTCCACTTCAGGGAAGATAGACAATTGTCTTGAATGTTTTCCACTTTTGAATAATTTTCCTCGCTGTAGATTAATGGAATTTAAGCTGCCTTCCTTGGCATTGCATTAACATACACCTGATTGCTCCAGACCAGCAAACTGATGATGATCAATTACTGAAGGGTATTTGGTTAGCAGCACCTGGCTGCTACTTAGACTCTTAATTCTTATGGAAGGACTAAGAGTGTACTTATCTTTTCACACATGGCTTCTTCATTTTGGCTTAATTTTGGAAAATAAAGAATGAAACAGTGCGATATGTCATACGTTGTTCATCTGAGGTTGTATTTACCTAATTTTCAGACCTACTAAGGACCAGATGATTTTTAGAATGTCCTGATACCGGTACATAAAACCATAGAATTCAAAGAGGGTGTATTTTCTTTTTCATGTGATTATATGTGATTTAGAAATGCATACAGTATCTTGTATTTTAATAGACTGTATTGGGCTTCTGTAAACCACAGTCCAGTACTGTGTTAGCACGTTTATTATTATGGCATCATCAGATTTTCCAAAACACTGCAACATTTCTGCAGTGTCATGTGTGCAAAACTAAACATACTTCATACATCTTATATTTCATATAAAGTATTGAATATATGCTTTTCTTTGCAGAATTCTAGAATTAAGGCGCTAGTCCCATACATTTGAGAGTAAATGCCATTAATCATAGTGTACTGTAGATGTAATATCCATACAATTGCACTGTAAGTGTGGCATTTGATTCAAATTCTGATTCCAAATCGACTGCCCCTAAAGTAGGGTGTATTGGTCAATAGCTAGTTTCCAAATGCAATGAAAACACTAGCCCATTTTGTATGTATGTGTTTTGTTTTCTTTTTAAATTCTGTCAGCAGAGAAAGGACTGTGAGTGGTGTCCATTGAAGTTAGAATGCCCAGAAACGATATATTAAGTCCAGAAATCTGAAGCTGCACCGTCTCTGGACTGCTAGACAAAGGAGGCAAAATGGAATAATTTGTGTTTTTCCTTTCTCATGTAGGAAGAGTTGGAAGAACATTTAAAAAAACACAGAGAGAAACTTCTCAGTTTGAATTTGATGCTGAGGCAATGTCCTACAGTCTAAATGAAGAACCTTTGCTTCCGTGCAAACCTCCTGCCGAGAAAGTTGAATTTACAGAAGATGAAGTGAAATATTCTCGCTGGTTCTATGACACTCCAGGGATTGTAAGGGATGGTTGTGTAAGTAATCACTTCTATTCCTAAGAAATTTTGTGCTTCAGAAGAGGAGGGCAGTATCTCACTGGCTACCTTTGCCTTGGAGATAAGTTCTCTGTTGCTCCAGGTCATGGGATGTAATCCAAATGTGTCTTCCCTTTATGGAAGGACAGTGTTAACATATCACAGCAGAGCACTGGTTCCCAATCTTTTGCCTTCTAGATGTTTTAGACTTCAGGTTCCAGAAGAGGCAGCAAGGCCACCAGTCAGGATTTCTGGGAGTTGACGTCCAAAAAACCGGAAGGATCAAAAGTTGAGAAACAATGGAGCATTATGCAAGAAAAGTGAAACCAAGTACAAATAGTTGTTTTTAAGTGTTATGGCACCTTTAAGACTTAATAGCTTTATTTCAGTGTGAGCTTCTGTGTATTGTCATCCATGAAAGCTCAAAGGGAGTAAATACTTTAAGTCTTAAAGTTGTCATAATACTTATGTTTTTCCTGCTGAAACACTACTAACAGCTACTTTTCTGAAACCTATTAAAGCACACAGTATAGGTCTTCTTGCATAAGGACTTGTGCAGGAAGTTGTACAATATTTTTATACAATGAGAAACGAGAACTGTAGAACCTATTTACTATAGCCTTGTGTAGTGTCCTATTCAAACTCTTAAACAAAGGGTTTCAGAATAGTGGTAACTGTTGCTCTTTTTTAGCTTAATATCATTCGAATACAAGCAGTCACTTTCTTCTAATGCAAGCACATCTTTTTGAGTCAGTTTATCATACGTGCTCAAGCAATTACCTGCACTTCAACCATGCATCATGAGCTCTGATGCACAGTAGCTCCTCAGAACGTAATAACTGTACTGTTTGTTTTTTGCTTAGCATAATAAGTTGCAATTAGAATAGACACACTAAATAAGCAGAGATTTGGTGCATCAGCCCCTCCACAGGTTCTCTTGATTCAATGAGCCTGCTGTAGTCGTGACTGACCTACTCTGAGCAATAGGGTCACAGCCAATGTGTTGAAGTATTTTCTCCCTCATTTTAGAGACTTGGTAGGAGGTCCTAAGTGAAATACTAAACGTGGATTTTGTAGTAGTCATACTGCCAGTATAACTAACCAGTATCATTTTGGCCAGCATATTCTCCGGATGCTGCCTAAAAAAGCAAGATCTACCTGTTCCAACTTTATAACAAAAATGACAGTGCTGTGCAGTAACCATAATAAATATATTTACTCAAACATGACAATTCCTCAAGGTGCTCTGTAAGAAATAGGATGAAATCAAAAAGTTTACCAACCTAACTAGAAATGGATTAGAGTTACAAACAGCAACAGTGCTCAAAATTCTTGATCATTACAGTTGCTTTTTTTTTGCTCCTTGTCTGTAGAGGAGTTGTAGGGATCAGAGAGCTGCTTCACAGAATAAACTTGTATAATGTCAGTATGGTTTGGCAGCCTGAATTAGTTATTTTCCTAATCATCCTGATGGTAGAATTGCCTTTCTTTCATAGCAGCCCCATGGTGGGTTGACATTTGCATTGAGATCCCTGTCATAAGACTTTGTCTTAGTCACCATCTCACACAGATTGGGGTGTGTCAGCTTTTTTGCTTCAGTGTGCCTCATTTTACACTTGCTTCTATTGAAGAACATTTGCCATTTTAATGCCTCTTTTCCTCAGTCTGGAAAGATTATTTTTAAGCGCTTAGCTTTGTGTGCGCATGTAAGAGAATAGCTTTCTTTCTCATTATCTCTTCCCCACCTCTTTCAAACTTGTTCCCAAAGCCAAACCTTCCAAGGAAATCCTGCTATGCCTGTAAGTGCAAAAGGTGATTTTTGAGCCTTCATTGTCACTCTGTTTAAGCTACCTACCAGGGTGAGTGAACAAAAAAGTCTCTGTTCTAAGTCCCTCCTTGGAAGGTAAAGGTAAAGGTAAAGGTAAAGGTTCCCCTTGACAATTTATTGTCCAGTCGTGTTCGACTCTAGGGGGCGGTGCTCATCCCCGTTTCCAAGCCATAGAGCCAGCGTTGTGTCCGAAGACAATCTTCCGTGGTCACATGGCCAGTGCGACTTAGACACGGAACGCTGTTACCTTCTCACCGAAGTGGTCCCTATTTATCTACTTGCATTTGCATGCTTTCGAACCGCTAGGTTGGCGGGAGCTGGGACAAGTGACGGGCGCTCACTCCGTTGCGTGGATTCAATCTTACGACTGCTGGTCTTCTGACCCTGCAGCACAGGCTTCTGTGGTTTAGCCCGCAGCGCCACCACGTCCCTCCTTGGAAGGTAGAATATAAGTATAATCTGGTTTCCAAAAAGCTATGTTATACACATTCTGAAGGTTCAGCCTGCACAGTGACTGTTACTCACTCAAGCATTCTGGACACACACAAACCTTTAAAAACAAAAGAAAAAGAAAGTTGTTGAAGGGCATCATTAGGAAGCTGCTAATCACTAAACATAAACGCAGTGCTTCCTTGAGTCCACTGAACAATATTTAGAAGGAAATGGTTTTGAAGTGTTTGGTCTTGCAAGACTGTACATAGAGCTGTAACTTTCCTGCATGCATATTCTTTACTCCTTTGGATTGTTTGTTTTTTATCAATTCTGTCCTAACTAGCTGGGCATTCTTCCATCTGAACTGCATTTATACAACAAGCACTATCCTGTCATGGATAGCAAAAGGAGAGTTATTTATACCTCCTAGCAACTGTGTGTGAAATAACTTTCAAGGGCCATACAACTATGCAGGAGCTCAAGTCACCTGTTGGCTGTGAAAAGAAATCAAATGAAAACGCATGTACTTGTCTTGAATTATCTGTATAAAGTCTTTGACTTTGCTTTTAGATTTTAAACCTCCTAGATGAAAAAGAAGTCAAGCTTGTTTTGCCAACTCAAGCTATTGTGCCAAGGACATTTGTGCTGAAGCCTGGGATGACCCTGTTTCTGGGTTCACTGGGACGCATAGATTATTTACAGGTAAGAGGGACAGAAGACACTCTTAGCATAGCATTAAGCTATGAAGTGTGGATGTGTTAGAAGATGTAGCAACAGATGGATGGTATGTCTGCATCCATTTTTAATTGCTGACATTACCATGTTTCCCTGAAAATAAGACAGGGTCTTATATTAATTTTTGCTCTAAAAACACATTAGGGCTTCTTTTCAGGGGATGTTTAACCTTTTTCATGTACAACAATCTACATTTATTCAAATGCAGTCATGTCATCTTCTGGTTGCTGCGCAATGGTGGAGGGCAGGGTTTCACTTAACTGGGGCTTATTTTGGGGGTAGGGCTTATATTACGAGCATAATCATACCAGGGTTTATTTTCAGGTTAGGTCTTATTTTTGGGGAAACAGGGTATAAATGCCAGACAGGCTGTTAGATTACTAATGCTCAAGATTAGTTACTTTTTTCTTCCATGTCCTGTTCCCTTGCTGTGGATGAACAAGTTTGTTGTGGTGCCTGAGTATGAGTTCTGTATCTGTGGTTTGTGTCATTGGAAATGTTCTAGACCTGAAAGGCTTTGAGTGAGAAGCTTGACCTCCACCTCTGTGTGCAAATCCTGAGTGTGGCACCCAGTTTCCCACTCAGTTCCTCATTGTTATAGTAGTACTACTGTAAGGAGTGTCCTTTCCTCTTTACTTCAGAAGGAGGTTGACCTGTTTCGGCTTAGTTTTTCTTATTTCATTTTCTTTCATGTTGTTAATCTCTTCTTCGCTGCCACTGTAATTTTATGTTTGGCATATACTTTTCCCTCACAACAACTTTAGCACTCTGCATTTAGCCAAAGTGTGCAAACTATGATACTAAGGACATCAAGATGGATGTTAGACAAGGCAGAATGAAATGATTCCATCTATTTAAAAACTTTGCTCTGTGAGAAAACTTCAGCCAACGGACACAGCAGCTGAGAAAAACCTACGCAACCCCTGGTCCGGGGCTGTGTGCTACTCTGATGCCTACAATGGTTTCTTTTACCACAGGTATGGCTTTGCCTTCACTGTCTGTGACAACTGCTACATTGGACCATCCACTACCTTGGGGACTATGGTAACCACCTTGACTCCGAGCACTTTTAATCAGCTGGTGGTACCAAAGGCCAGCATGACCTCAAGATGATATAGAACAGTTTTCTTGGCCGTGCCCGGGGGGGGGGAGTCTTGATTTGTACAGATGTAAGACATAAAGCACAAACACCTCATGCCTCCTTTGGCCTCAAAAACCAAGAAGAAAGGAGAAAAAAGATGTAGAAGCATGAAGAGCTGACATCTTCAGTAATGATTGCCTCACCACCTGATCTATCAACTCTTTTATTTTGGGACCAAGATCTCAGTCTCACACTCTTCATCAGAGGTGTGGAACAAGGCACTCGTTTTTCCACTGGACAGTTATCTGTCTACTCTGACTTGGGTTCCCTGCTTGTCCACATCTTGAAAGTGCAAGAGGTTCTCTCATACATATCAGTCTCCAAAGCACATGTCACCGTTTCAGAGGGAGAAATTCAAGAATTGTTCCCTTGATAGTAAGGGTAGACTGTCACTGTGCATTCTTCAGGAGATTTTCTGGCTCACCTTCCTCATGGTGATGAGGCTGGCTTTCTTTCAAAATGCATATGTTACTCATGTAGGCAGCTACCAGGGAACCATGGAAGAAATGCAGGTAGACACCAGTTCTCCAAATCCCCTTCCTGTATTTGAGAGCAGATTTCCTAGATAGGGAGATAGAGATTGTTGTGGCTGTAAAAAAATGTTGTTACTCCTTACAGGGAATTGTACTGTTATGGCATCTGCTATCATGACCGTGATGGTTGCATCTGGAAATCCTGTGATTAAATGAGGTCATGGTTGCCGTTTCAGAACTTCTGCGCCTGTCTAGCAGCATGCCTTCTCCATGGTAGTGATTGAATAGACTAGTAGTTCCTCCTGTTTGACAGTGATTCTGATTCTAAAAAAACTTGAGTTCTTTCAGGGTTAACATTTTACACATTGCTACAGTAACCATGATCCAAGCCTGTGGTGTTGTATCATATGATTATCACCTACCAGTCTTAGTATTCATTTCAGTCTCAAAAGCCATCCTTTGCTCTTTGATTGTCCTACGTAGGCCAGCCTCTGAGTCCAGTCACTGCGGAGGATGCTGTTCTGGATATGACACTGATTCTAGCCTAGAGGCTTCTTTGCTCTATTCTTTGATCTATTCTGACAGTACCTGCCAAGCAGGACATTCACGTGGCCTTCTGCCTTGACCAGAATTTAAACATCCTCAGTCTTCCATCAAGGAAGTACAAGTACTTCATCTGGTCCAGTCAAATGCCTCAATTCCTTTGGCCATTCCAGGCCTTCCACAAGTTGCAAGAGAATCTTGGCAATCCTTTTTCTCCATTCCTTCAGTAACTAAATGTTTGGGAAATATTTGTGGTAACAAGAGACAGAACGTTATTTTTGTCAACCAGAGGTAAACTCAGTCATGGTGGAAATGGCTGTGGAAAAAAAGATTAGCTGAAACATAGATTGGGGCGGTGAAATTTGGCACCACGGCGTTAATCCCTTACAATACAGTGGGGTCTTGACTTAAGAACGGCTTGAGTTAAGAACATTTTGACTTAAGAACTGCTCTCATAGGAAAATATTGACTTGACTTACATACTTAGATTTGAGTTAAGAACTGAAAAAAAAACCACGTGGGAGGCAGGGAAAGGGCAAAATTTGAACTTTCAGTTAACTGTTGGCCAGTGAAAAGGGGGCCTGTCTGCTTCCTCACTCCTCCCAGCGTTTAGAGAGCGGATTGGGAGACAGTCTTCAGACTGCCTGGTACTGTACTGCCTGAACTGTATTTTCCCTGCCTTCCCTGAACCTTTCTTGACCTAAGAAAAAAAGAAATAAAATATCCCCCTCTAGTGGTCGAAGGCAGAATAGCAGCTTCCCATTAGTTTCTATGGACGGAAATGAGCAGATACGGATCAAATGGTTCTCAATGCATTCCTATGGGAAATGCAGATTTGACCTGAGAACTTTTTGACTTGAGAACCACCTTCCAATACGGATTAAGTTCTCAAGTCAAGACCCCACTGTAGTCACTCAGTTCAGCAGGTCCCCTCCGTGCTTTGGGGGGTTATTTTTAGGGACTGCTTTGGATCTAACCCAGCTGGGGAGGAGGCGTGAGAGACAAAAAGGATGTAAGCTTGGTTCATATGTAATAGCAAACCATGGTGTGACAAGATGACTCAAGCATGTGCATTTTCCCATCTTTTTCATCCCTTTGTGTACTCTGATCTCATGCCAGACTTTTGTGGCATATTGTGGGATACTAAGCTTGGATGTAGTAAGAAATAATGCTTTGCTGTGAAAGAAGAAGCTGAATTTGGTGCCGAAAAAGTATGGATGTTACACAAGATGATGTTTTGCCATTTTATGTGAACAGAGCCTTTTTCATCATCTGTAATGTATCAATAATATGATGGATTATTAGTCAATAAGAATGTCTCTTCAGTTCTTCAGTTCATGTTATTCCCATTCTTTGATTATTGTCTTCATGTGCCTGTAATAAACTTTCTCCCTCTGTATTCTGTATGCAAGTGGGAGATGGGGGCTTTCTCCCTTCTGTATTCTGTATGCAAGTGGGAGGTGGGGGGAAACTAAGTTAACTATCCCAAACTTTGAAAGTTAATTTTAAGGATCTCAGCATGTTGAGAAAGTGTTAGCCTGCTTGCCAAATTCAGAGCTGCCATGATGCAATAAAAATGTCAGAATAATACAGCATTGATTAATTGATTTTAAAATACAGAAGCTTGTTTGTAACTCATTTTTTTTATCCAGCATGACTCCATGGGCTGGCTCCAGAATTATTTGCAAGCTGGAGACTATATAATGATTTCTGACATTTTCTAAGGATGATGCATTAAAGACAAGATTGAAATAAGAATACAAAGAAGAGTATCAAACTCAAAATCCTCTTTTTCTACATTATTTTAAGAAATTGTGGATTTAGGAGTGTTTAAAGGGGTGGAAACCTTTGCTACATCAGAATAGTAGCTTTCAAAATCTAGACCACTAGCAGCCATAAAGGGAATTATTTGCCAGCTGCATTTGTTTTAAACTTTTAAAAATGAAATTGGTCTTTTAAACCCAGAATTTATTTCCGACAATTAATTGTCTGCTTCTTGTTCCTTAGGGGAACGAATGCTCCTGGTTTTCTGTTATAGCCTCAAACTTTTTGCCTGTGCATATCACTACACTTGAAAAAGCAGACGCTGTCTATCAAAAGCACGCGGGTCAAGTGTTACTGAAGGTAAGCCAGCACTGACTGTACACCACTGGGAGAATCTGTGAGGGCTAATGCCTTGTGATCCCTCTTCTTCCACGGACATTCATTATTGTGCCTCTTGGGCCCTTGCACAAGGCAGACTTTGTTCTGCTCTCAGCCAGCACCATGACTGCATTGTCTCATATGAGTTCTCCCTGTCTTGGTGGTCTTGCACTTTATGCCAGAAGGGAATAATACTTCACATTGTTTTGCTTCTGTCCAGTCTCTGGAAAGTCAAAGGTAGAATAAAATGAGATTGTGTGAGTTCTAGTCCAAAAATATTTTTTCCCAGTTAAAAAGACTTGGTCTCTCTGTATGAGGTGCTCCACAAAGGATCAGAAATACATATATTTCAGATCTGTGAAGTGCATTATGGTCTTAGTATTATTTCCGTTTGGAAACGCTGAAAAACAGCGCTAACATGTAAGGATTTGGCCAAAGCCATCCGTTTAACCAAGGTTGTTGAATGTGAAAAACAAACCTGTTTCAGCAGCAGCATACATTGGATGCAGTACACAAAATGCCACTCAACTCTTTACTTTGGTGCATGGGAGAAATACCTTTGAATGTTGGACTTCATTTGTTGAACTGTGAACTGAACATCATGTAATACTTCCAGCCCTTGCCACACCAGATATACTAAAACAGTTCAAGCAGACATTTTATTGCTAGCAAGACAAATTTGTGTTCTTTACATAATTGTTTTCTATGGTAGTTAACCTACATCTTATTAGCTTGGGACCACTGTGGGGAGAAGAGATGGATCTGGAAATGAGGAACACACAGAGAAGATAGGAAAATAATGGGTCCTTTTTAAAGCAAAGTCAATATGCAGGCATGTTTAAAAGAAAGTACACCCTCTTTGAATTCTATGGTTTTACATATCAAGACGTAACAAAAATCATCTGGTCCTTAGCAGGTCAGAAAAAATCACCCCAAGGTCAGAGCTCACAATGTTCAGATAAATTGCAAACATCCCAAGAGTTACAACTCTGGTTCTACAAGCCTCAGTATGTTAAATGTTAACTTTCATGATAATTCAGTTAGAAAGAGACTGAACAAGTATGGTTTGTTTGCAAGGGTTGCCAGCAGAAAGCCTCTTCTCTCCAAAAAGAACATGGCAACATGGCTTAGTTTTGCAAAGTTGCATTTGGACAAACCACAAGACTTGTGGAACAATGTCCAGTTCGGCGAAAACCAAACACAGCATATCAGCACAAATACGTTATACCAACTATCAAGAATGATGGTGGAGGGATGATGATTACTGAGTTGATCTTGATTTCGATTTGCCATCCAGGTTTCCTTTTGAGGATACTTCGGGTTTTTAATGTTTCTTTGTTCTCTATGTCTTTGTTGGTGGTATTGGGTTGTGGTATTTTAATAGTTGTTAGCCAACCAGAGTAGTGTCCCAGCACTAAATGGGTGGGATATAAATTCCATCCATCCATCCATCCATCCATCCATCCATCCATCCATCCATCCATCCATCCATCCATCCATCCATGCATGCATGCATGCATGCATGATTTGGGGACATTTTGAATCCACAGGACCTGGGCACCTTGCAGTCATTGAGTCAACTATGAACTCTTCTGTATACCAAAGTATTCAAGAATCAAATGTGGGGCCATCTGTCCGACAGCTAAGGCTTGGCCAAAATTGGGTCATGCAACAGGACAGTGATCCCAAGCATACCAGCAAATCTACAACAGAATGGCTAAAAAAGAAAAGAATCAAGGTGTTGCAGTGGCCCAGTCAAAGTTCAGATTTCAACCCAATTGAAATGCTGTGGCAGGACCTTAAGAAGGCTGTGCCTAAACAAATATCTGCAAACCTCGAAGAGCTGAGGCAAAGTTGTAAAGAAGAGTGGGTCAAAATTCCGCCACAGCAATGAGAGAGACTGATGAAGTAATAGAGAAAATGATTACTTCAAGTTCTTGCTGCTAAAGGTGGTTCTACAGGTTGTTGAATCATAAAGTGTACTTTTTTTAACCACACATAGCTTTTCCATTTTAGCTTTATTTTTGTAAAATAAATCATAACACGGTGCAATATGTCATATGTTGTTCATCTGAGGCTGTAGTTACCGGATTTTCAGACCTGCTAAGGACCAGATGATTTTTATTATATCCTGATACATAAAACCATAGCATTCAAACGGTGTACTTTTGTTCTCATATGACTGTATCAGGTTTATTTTCAGTCTATGGAATCCTACAGTTGCAGTGAGATATTGGATTATATGATTATTTCAGATCAGAGTATTCATAAAATTTGTGGCTCATATGTATTTCTGTGTCCTTGCTTGATTTTTGACTAAAAGAAGGGGCATTCATAAGCTAGCACTGATTGTACACTGATGGAGAATCTGTAAAGGCTAATGCTTTGCTTTTCTCATGTCTCAGAAGTATCTATGACTTTGCTATTTATCAGATAAAGTTGTTGTTGTTTAGTCGTGTCCGACTCTTCGTGACCCCATGGACCAGAGCATGCCAGGCCCTCCTGTCTTCCACTGCCTCCCGGAGTTGGGTTAAATTCATGTTGGTCACTTCTATAACACTGTCCAACCATCTCATCCTCTGTCCTATACAGTAGGACCTCCTTATCTGCGGGATCAATATCTTCCGATTCACTTATCCGTGGCCAGCAAATATTGATAAAAGTATTAAAAGAAAAATGCAGAAAAGAAATCCTGTTTTACCAGAACTGGCCACTAAAGGGAGCCAAGGACTGTGAATACATAGCTTGGTCTCTTGCTGTTTAAGGCCTCTCCTCTTACAAGTTTTCTCCCTGGAGGCAGCAGTGGAGGATCCTGCTGCTTGCTGGTTTAACTTGGAGGTTTAAAAAAAAAGCTTCAGTTCCCAGCAATCTAGGTGAGAAGCAGGGCGGGGGCATCTCCAGCCAGCTTGCTTTACATTGAGGCTTGAGAGCATGCCTACAAACTGGAAAGTTGCCCTCCCAGGGTGGTGGCAGCGACCTCCACACTCTGCCTTCCCTTCCTGTAACCATTAGGTTTGCATGCATCAGAGGGAGGCGGGGGGGGGCTTTGTCCCTATTCCTTCTGCATAGTTGGCGAGGGCCACGTGGAATGGAAGCTTCTGCTGAACTGGCGGGAGTTCAGACAGGCTTTCAGCTGCTGAAGTAACATGGCCGGGCCATTGCTTTAAACAGTTCCTACTTAAAATATACAATAGTAGTTTTTGCTCCAGTAGTTGTAGCTATTTGTACTTGATTTCCTTGTTTTATTTCATGTTTTAGGTATTGTAGTATTTTTATTGACTTGCCTGCTCGGCTCCCAACTTCTCTTTTTCTTTATTCAGTTAATCAGTCTGTTCTCATCTCCAACTGTTTTGATTATACTACATCTGTGTTTTCTTACTATCCGAAAGTGCTTCTTCTAAATCTCTCCACCTTCCTGCTTTCATTCTAACACCTGGTTCTTCTGCCCACTCTGTTCTTTTTTCATTCATCTCTTGTTGTTGCTGTATGTTCATGGAGTTCCCCTAAAATCTCTGTTGATTCATCCGTATCTGCCAAAGACCCTCTATATACTTCTACTTTTTTTCTTGTGTTTTTTTTTATTAATTGGAGTTTCCTCCCAACTGATAAGCTTATTTCCAAACTGATTTTCAGTTTCCCCTGCCCTCTCCCCTTACTTTTCATACGTTTTGTTTCTACTCCAGGTGTACACCTGTGGAGATAAAACACCTACCTGTGACAATCACTTGACGAATGGTCTTGTGAAAATAACTGAATGGTTGCAATTAGAGATGAGGGTATTCATATGGGGGATATTCATATGGGAATATGAATATCCCGCCACAGGTCCAGATAACGAGGGTCCAGCCCCCTGGGGCCAGACTGAACCCTCACTATTTTGCTGCTGCCGTGGGCTCTGCGCTCCCTATCACTCCAGAGTTCGTGATGGATTAGCTACTCTTCGACCTGGCAGAGGCTTGTCAATCCCGCCTTTTGTCAGGAGTGGCTAATCCACCACGAGCAACAGAACAACAGGAAGGGAGTGCAGAGCCCGTGGCTGCAGCAAAATAGTGAGGGGTCAGTCTGGCCCCAGGGGGGTGGACTCTCGTTATCTGCACCTGTGGGGAGATATTCGAATACAAAAAGCCCCATCTGTACTTTCAATCACTTTGTTGGTTTTATGAAGTTACTTTTATTAGCCACAGTTTCAACTGTAGATAGTTTTTACTGCTGAAACCCTATTTCTAACTTTTAACACAAGGTTCCTATCGGAGGTGAAGAACGGATGAAAGATTTCCCACCTTTGGTATCTCACGATGTGATTTTGGAAGGAATTGGTGATACTGAGGCAGTAGCTGACATAAAGCTTTCATCTGCAGGTAACTGCGCAAATCTTTTATGCATTCTTTTATGTAGGTTAGCAGCTTGTGCCAGAAGGAAGGCACTTGCTTTGCTATGATCAGTCACAGAGAGACAGCTACCTTTGTGAAAACGGGATTGTGGATGTTTCCAGATCTTGTTAGCACGTTCTGCTGATCTTACAGAATGGCAAGACTTTGGGATAACAAGGGAGTATTTTCTTATTATGTGTTTGATTTTGTTCTACTATACAGGGAAACTAATTTATTTTTTGTGTAGACGGTATGTAATCTTGTGTTTGCTCTGCACAGGCTGGGTTGCAGTTACATCACACTTGAACAACAAAATCCATCTGAGGTGCTACACCCCTGAAGGGACAAAGCTGTCAGTACGCCAGCCTCCTCTGCTGCCCTACATTGTTCAGGTCAAAGGAAAACGTTTAAAACGATCACCAGCCTATCAGACTGTAAAACCACCTTCCCTTGTACAGAATTTAAAAGCAAGGAAGAAATCCTAGGGAACCTCTAGGTCTAAAGCGCAAGACATTGTAAATAAAATTTCCCAGGGTGACATTTATTCAGATAGCAAACTGTGAATTGCACAAAATACATCTTTATTTTTTTACAAAACATGTACAATATTAACTTTGTAAAATGTTATTAGGATTTAAAGTTATAAGAATCATGTATGCAATAGACATATATTGCTCATTTTTAAACTTCTTTCTTATAAACACTGATAGGATGCTCTAGCAGTGCTTTATGTATGCTAGAGCTGTAACACAAGTCATCTTCTGTACTATCTCCACTAGATCCTCTTTTTCTATTCCTCACTTTTTATCTCTTAACTGCTTTAATCCCTCTCCGATGAGTTTTGTCCCTTTTTCTCCTTCTGGGCTCAGAGTTCCCCTTGTTTTCAAGGCTGTTTAGGTGATTACATGGCAATAGACATATACTGCTCATTTTTAAACTTTCTTATAAGCACTGATAGGATGCTCCAGCAGCGCTTTATGTATGCTAGAGCTGTAACACGAGTCATCTTCTAAATTAATCTGAAAGGACTCTAGGGGAATTGCCTAAATTGTTTAAGGCAAGGCACTCTCAGCCTAATCAGCAGTATGTGTGTGTGAGGAAACTCCACAGGGTGTACCCTGTGATGTCTATATGATGTCTCAGGTCTCTGAGCCGAGAAGGAGAAAAAGGGACAAAACTCATTGAAGAGGGATTAAAGCAGTTAGGAGATAAAAAGTGAGGCAACAGAGGGTGCTAATTGGGCGGGGAGAAAGGAGGAAAGGGGCAGAGAGGGAGACGAGGAGGAGGCAGAAGCCTGTTGGGGAAGAGAAGAGCGAGAGGAACGGAAAAAGAGGATCTAGTGGAAATAGTACAGAAGGATCCGTGGACGGGCAAATGGGTAGAGTTCAGAGTACCCTGTGAGTATGGAGAAAAGGAGTGGAGTAGATAGGCACACAGAAAGCCACCTTACTGGGGGGAAACGGAAGAGAGAAGACAAAGGAAATAATATGAAGCTTGGGTTAGAAGAGAGGAGCAGCAGCAGAGAGCGGAGAGGATGCATAGCGAACCCTGGGAGAACCCCTGGGCCTACTCCATTCAGACCACGCCTGAGACAAAAGCCAGGCCAAAAGGTAGGGCAACCACAAGTGGGGTGGATTTATCACTCTCGGAAATAAAATCCTCAAAGCATACGACCCCAATGTGGGGCATCGAGTCCAAATGGGTTTAAAAGGCGCCAAGTTCTTCCCCCTTTTTTTACAATGAAGAGTTATCTGATTTTAAGAAAGTTAAAAGTTATGAACTGTTGTTGAAACCTGAAGCAAACGAACAAAATACGCATACAACTGAGAATATGTTAAATAATAAACAAATTTTATTTGAAGACTTTGGTCTACCACACTCTTTTTCAGTGGAATCCTTAAAGAAGGGAGGTAAAGGAGAGTGGACACAATCACAATGGGGGAATGCAAATACAGTAAAAGTAAAGACCTGCCCTTCTTGCTTAAGAATTTCAAAACAAGATACATGGAGTACTTTGAACATGGAAAGCACTTACTTATTTGATGTGAAGTATTTTATTAGCCTTGATAACTTTGTTGTTAATGTGCTACCTTATACCAACCAATACCATTTGGTACCTTATACCAAATGCTCCTGCATGACACCGCTGTCCGCTCGGTAGCAAAGAAACAGAAGGGAAAGTTTTATCTAGGGCATCACAGGAAGACAACTCAGACTTCAAACTTGCTGTAATCCATCTGAAAAAGTACACCACACCAGCAAAGGTAGCAAAGAAACCCCATGTTTTTGTGTTTGCTCATGAATGATCAGCAATGCTTTTTCAAACTGCAAAGCCTTCTTCACTATTGTACTGGACAAGGGACGCTGGAGCAGTCAGTTACTCAGCAAGAAGAATTTGCTGTGTTGTTTGCAGACAGTCCATTTGATTCACCTTGACTTGGTAAAGCACGTTCTTTTACTTTGGCACTTACTCTGCTAGGTAAGATTCTTTTCAACTTGTACTTCTTGAAAATATCAACAGTGTTTGAAATGGTGAGGGCTACCACCTGCTTAACAAGTCCTTAACATTCCTGGCTAATTAGATCTGTCAAGAGTTGGACCATTGCCACAGTTAAGGGAAGTGAGAAATGCATCTTTACAGGTTATCTTTTATTTCTAAAATAAGCTGTTATTAAGCCCCTTTTAAAAGAAATTTATTCTTAACCCAGAAGTTCTAATTAATTCTAGACTAGCTTCAGATTTAGTGTTTGGCCAAGGTAGTCCAGAACATTTTGGCCCTGCAATTTGAATCACTCTCCAATGACCTGGACCCATTTCAGTTGGGCTTTTCATTGGGATACTGGATGAGTTCTAGGCAAATTCTGAGATTTGGGAGTCCTGGAAATATAGAAGTCCAATCTTTAATCCCCTGTATTATTTAACATTTACAGTGAAGCCATTGGAAGAGGTAATTTAGTGTTGTGGAGTGGTGTTCCATTAATATGCTGATGATGCCCAGATCTCTACTGCTCCTTGTCACCTAGTACCAATAAAGTAATTGTGACTCTTGAACACTATAAATTCAGTCATGGGTTGGATTAGAGAGAGCACGCTGGAATTAAATCCTGATGCGGTGAATGGGGCCTAACTAAGGGACTGCTGGTCTCATTAAACCTGACCAGATATTAAGATCTTCTGGAGAGGCCTTAAAACAAACAGCTGCAGAAGCCCACCTGACAAGCATATAGGAGGGCTTTCTCATCCGTGTCTCCCAGGCTGTGGAAAACATTACCCTCAGACCTGCAATTAGTTTCCACTCTCAGTTTTAGGAATGATTTGAAGACATGTTTTCAAACTAGCAGTGTCTAATTTACTGTCTTTTTTTACTTGCACTTAGTTGATTTTAATGAGGTTTATGGTAGTGTTCATTTTATTTTTACTGATTTTATGGTTACATTTGTTTTCCTTGTTTTATTAATTTTCAAAGATTGCAAGCCACCATGAGCACAACCTTGTCGTGGAAATGATAGATCTGCCAATGAATGCTGGCATATCTGACCACTCAAGGAGAGATTGCAACAGTTCAATAGGGACAAGAGTGGAGTCTGCAACATGGTTTAATCAAAAGAAGACAGAATTGCCAGAACTCCATGTAAAGCAGAATCAAGTCATTATGAATTGCTTCTAAATATATATGGTAGAAAATGCGGGTCTTGGGTATATGATCTACAAGTGACTTCTTAGCATTGCATACCATTGGAGAATAAATGTGCATGTCAACACATGTATTCAATATGAAAAAAAATCAATCTTTCTGCTGACAAAGAATTGCATTTTGTCTGACAAGGCAGGAACTGGACTCTGTGCTGTGATGTTACAAGTACAGTACTCAACACTGCATACTCAAGAGTCAATGGCACTTAGCAGCATTCCATGTATGCTGTCGGTTCTAGAGAACAGAATGTTGACATTCAGCAAATCCTAATCATCGTTTGAAAAGGAACCTATTCCTTAGGGTTCTAAAAATACGTTTGCAAGTACATAGGTATTTCTAGGGCAAACCTCTGAAGGCAGAAGAGTTGCTGTGTGATCATTTCTTGCACCTCCCAATTATTAGCCAAACCAGTAATGTTAAACATCCAACATATCTCTTTGCAGAAGGTATACGGGTAAGGTGCCCTCTGAGGTGCATGCTTGTGCACCTCTGCCCCACTTCCTCCTCCGCCACACACCAACCACGACAGTTTGCAGCCTCTTTGGTTCCCGTTGCAATGGAACAATATGTGCTGGGGGTGCAAAGTCAGGTACCCAAGGGTCAGAACCCCACCCAGCACAGCTGAAAATCAGAACGATGGAATACAGGCCACAGAATACAACACTGTCTCAAGGAGGAATTTGGGCTACTAAACTTGAATGTTATACCTTTGAAAACATTTTTAATCTTAGATAATCTTCAAATTGCAGAGCTAAGAGGGACCATATGGATCATCAGGTCCATCCCATCAAGGAGGCAAACTGGAGAATTTATATCCCAGTAGTTATCCAGCAATTTTAATATTCCTGGATATCACTAATTATTTTGTCAGTGGAAATTCTTATTTGTAAATTCTAGACATCTTTATTACTCTTGTTACAGGAAACCCAATAAATGTAGCATTGTGGCACCTTAAAGATGCATAGCAAATATTACCATACATAAGCTTTCATAAATACTTCCTTGGTTTGCATCATAATAGGCGACTTGTGTCAACAGCTGATTTTTAAGATTATGCTTTTTTTATACCCATATTTTATGTACATGGCCCAGTTTTGCTGGATTTATAAGATCCTCTGGTGTTGCTCCCATCCTCCTTACAAGGACTGCACTAGGCATTAGGAAGTATTTTCCCTTAAGACTGCAAGGTCACTTGGGAGAGTAGAAACCAGGAGAATTTGTTTCTTCAGTTAAGGAACAAGTGAATAAAAAATATAAATGTCCAGTGAGGAAACAAAAGAGCAAACATGTAAGTGAAGAAAAATATATTCGCGAAGGCTTTCAAGGCCGGGATCTAATGGTTGGTCTGGGGTTTTCGGGCTCCTTGGCCGTGTTCTGAAGGTTGTTCTTCTTAACGTTTCGCCAGTCTCTGTGGCCGGCATTTTCAGAGGACAGCTGTCCTCTGAAGATGCCGGCCACAGAGACTGGCAAAACGTTAGGAAGAACAACCTTCAGAACACTGCCAAAGAGCCCGAAAAACCCAGAACAACCATGAAGAAAAATAGTTGGGCTTTCACTAAAGCATCTTCTTTCCAGTCACTATTTCAGTTTTTGCCAATCCAGCTCTCAGCTTTTCAATTCTTGTTATCCCACTTAACGTAACAGTTTTTAAAGACAAATCCCCACTGACTGACTACATTTCAACAAAACATAAGGTTTTGAACTGCCTAGCAATTTGATGTCAATGGAAATGACTGCCTTAGAACTGATGTCATCACATATGGTTTGTTATGATCTTGAATATTCTGCCAGATGCCCAGCAGAGACAAATGTCGCACATAGGGAAGTGGGAATATTCCAAAGTTGTGACAGAAGATACTGTTTCTGTTATAGCACAATCTTTTGCTTCAACACCCTCCAATCTTCCCACTTGTTTGGCCTGACTCAAAGGGAGAGAGTCAACCACCTCAGGGAGCAGATATTGGTGACAGCTATGACAGCCATTCACCCAGTTATTCTCCTGAGCCTGTAGCCATTTCCCTATCTTGGGCAGAGAGGTTGTTTTCACCTCTGCTGCTCTCAGTTGTGGAAGGGGATGCTATCAGCACTGAATTAAGAATCAACTGCCAGCTGACTCAGTTTCTGTATCTGGAATAGAAACTGTCCTATTTTTCCCATTGTCTCCAGTAACAAAGCATCTTAAATGGGCTAATCCTGTCAAGTAGCCAATAGAATCCCACAAATTCCTCTCTGGGTGGCTTGAAGATAAGAGGATCCAATTGTCATAAAAAAGCATGAGATGGAAACTGAATGCAACTTCAACACATTTTTGGGTCTAGCAGTAAAAACATTAGGGATCAAAAATATTAGTGTACTTTAAAGAATAAATGCGCTCTGAATCATTAAACACAACAAAACAACCACTAATTGGATGTAGTCCCACTGTGCAGTTGCTACTAAATCACTCTCAATCGTTTCACAGAAGTTTTGAATTTTGGAAAAATACTAGCTCTAAAAAACACTAAGCTACCTTTCTTTCTACAAGGAGAATAAATACAAGTTGTGTGTGGATTTGTCCTACTTCAATGCAGAGTTAAATACCACAACATGTACAATCCCATTCATATTTTTAAGGAGAATTACACACTAGGACTTCAGAATAAATTGTAGCGTTGTCCTGTTCAAACATCCCCAAATTATTTCATACTTAATTACCGCACTATCTGAATCAGTAAGAGGCTACAGCAGGACTGAATCCAAAGGACCAGGAAAATGAGAACAAAGCAGCATGGAATATATCTGGACAATAGTTCAACTATTCTGGCATTTGTACATGAAAAGCATCTCCATCTGCTCCCAACCATTAAGCCAACATAGGTTTTGGTGGTTGCATAATGATACAATGCTATCATTTCCAAAATACCAATAAAAGACAGATCAAAGCCATGTATATTCCTTAATAAAGTTTATTGACTTACAACTATGCTTAGGAAAATACACTCAAGGGTTAATACGCAATTTAGTTTAACACCTTACATTTTGGACAAAGACTTGTGTACAGTTTAGGTAAATAAAAAACCCAGGACATGTGATCTGTTCTGATTTTACATCTATTACAAACGTATAAAAGCTCTTCATGCACTACAGTAGATAGAAAGCATGAAAAAAAATTACCTTTGGTTTAAGTTGAGAAAATAATACAAGTATTGCACTGTAAAAAGCTTCAAACATGGTGCAACCAAACAAAATGTTTCAGTGCCAGCTTACAAAAAGTTCTTTAGCTAGTGTGATTTTCTTTTTAGGGAAGGAAAAAAGTATATATACACATATGTGAAACTTCCTTAAGCTAACTGGATGTAATTAATATCGTATCTCAGCATGTTAGCTATGCAATTGATAAATCTGACTGAACCTGTGTTTGCAACCAATCAACTAATAATATAGCAAAATCAATAATGTCTTGAGAAAACTGACCTGTCAGTTTGTTCTGTAAAAAAGATTTGAAGTTCCAGCCCTTAGGTTAATGAAGCCCCAAATAGCAGCAATATTCAGGCAAGTTGCAAGTTCCTTATTTCCTATTCTTCAGTTACTTGCAGCATTGGATTTCAGTGTTTATCTTTTAAAATACTGATGTTCTCCTTAGCTACACTACCCAACAGGGTACCAACAATGTTGGATACCGCATTATGTGTCAACTGTTGGGATGTCTTTGATAAGCATTGCTGCCAAGAGACGCCCTTTAGCTGGAAAGGTATATCTAAATTTCCTGTGAACCCCCATGGCCAATTTTAAGAAGCTAATTCAAGCAGAAACAAAGTAAATTATCTACATTTGAACCCTAATTTTGCTTATCCATTAAGAACATGTATCCTTACTTTCCATCTTTTACTGGTATACCCTTAACCATTCTGCTTCCTTTATTCTATACAAACAACATAGTAAAAATGTATGGGAATTTCTAATCAATCACAATATCCAATACATCCCAGACCATAACAAGCATGTCATTTGTTCTTTTAGCACATAACCATTTTGTATTCTCATGCTCATACCAAGTGCCCAACACAGGCACTTTCTTCTATAGCCTTTCCAAGTGTGAAATCTTCAGTCCCAATTATTTCCTAGTATCAGTTTTCATGTAATAAAGTTGTCTAATATAATTAGCACTATCTCTTTTCAACAAGTCTGGTTCTAAAATTTTAAGCACAAAAAAAGCATCTCAAGGCCAAAAAGTTCTTATAAGATGGAAGCACCTATTTTAAAAAAAGGGAGATTTAAAAAAACCTTGTCTGTATAGTACTGGAGTTTCCAGCCTCTGTCCAATCTTCTCTCACAACGATGGCAATATATACATCTGACACTAATGTTGTGTCTAATTTGATTTCATATAAACTGGTTAAGAAGACATTTCAACAGTGTTTAATGATTCAACATAAATATAATTGCAACTTGATTCTCAGTTGACAATGATTGTCACAGCGAAGGTTAAGTCTTGAACATAAACTATTCACACTCAAACAACTAATGTTACACAATTTATTTCCACCCTAAAGGGATTACTGTCCCTTAGATCTTTGGCCTCCTATTACCACTCTCCCACCTTACCACCTACAAAAGAATCATCAGCCTCCTCTATTCATTTCTATGTTGAAATGGTACTATCAGCAGAAAGGGAGGGGTCAGGGGAACACTAAAAACAATTCAAACTAATGCAAGCTTAGCGGTCTCCAAGAGAGAGAAAAATAAATATAGTTGCTTTACTAGGTCTGCAGCAGGACATAAAACTATCTTGATAGTCCTCTGGGCTCAATCAGTCAGGATGTCCTCCTGCACAAGCTGCCCAAATGAACTAGAGAACACAGTAATGAAGTCTGTGTTGTAAAATTTCCTTTGACAGTGATGTTTTTTATTTCTGCTGTTATGTTACTGGAAAAAAAAACCCAAACTTGGGAAAACAAAATTATCAAACAGGAATGGGGGTAGCAGAAGGGTAGCTGGTCAATTTTGCTAATCACCTATGAGGTTCTCAATGCTTATATATTTCAAAATGTTCAGCTAAGTCTGAATAGTTAATAAACCAGTTCTAAAGTTACCTATGACTTTTCTCCAGATGTCTACAGATTTACAATTTAAATATCTAATTATATCGATGTCTCTTTATATCAACTATAAGATTGGAGTCATTAATTTAATTAAAATTTGACTGAATAATGAATGAACAGGAATTGCTACGTTTGCCCTAACAAAAGATTTGTCACTTATCAGGATTTTTCTGATGCATATTATTTTAGATGGGATTATTTCAACACAAACATTTATTTCAGGGAAGCAGAGAGATAACATGATCCACCAGGAAGTTCTCTTGCACAGCACCTACCCAAATAAATGCATGGTGTGCAAAATGCAAGGTGTCTAAACAGATTTTGCTTTGATTTTTTCCCATGCAACTATCAGGGAATTTTTAAAATAACATTCCACTTTGTGCTAATTTGGATATTCTGTTCATAAAGATATTCACTAATTTCTTAGAATTTACAGAACCATAATCCATTAGCTGCCAAATTTCCCTAGAAATTACTCACATACAAGGCCCTCTGCAAGGAAAAGAAGGAAAAAGACAAAAAATTCTTGGGTATTTCCTCTTCATTTTAACAGAGTCTGTGGCACCCCAGAACACATGACAATGCAGCAGAAATATTAGCTATAAAAAGATTTGCACAAACCCTAACACAGGAGCTGGGCAAAACCTCCACATAATTCTTAAAAATAACCAAAATTATTTAAATAGGATCTCAGCGAAACAACTTCCATGGGGAAAGCACAAGGTAGCATTTGTTTCAAAATTATATAATTAATGCTACAAAACATCTCTAGTCCATACTTTAAAAAAATCACACATAACCAATACAGAACCAGAAGGTTGTTGTCAAAAGAAATAGAGAACACTAGCCATGGTAAGCAACAAACCTGAAAGTATCAAGGAAGGAAACCCTTTAACAAAACCAAACATGCATATATAAACTGTATTATACAACACAAATACTAAGCTCCTAAAGGCTTACTGCATAGGTAAAAATAAAAACAATTATGTGCAATATTTTTCTTCTCTTAAAGCACAAAAGGAAATAATAACCTTATCTTGAAGTACTTACTACTTACCAAGTAATAGATTCACCAATTAACAGTTGGAAAGAACTTCAATAATTTGGCTTGTGATCATAATTGTGGAACCTGACATGTACATGCAAACTGAAAATATGATCATATGATTATGTTTACTGCTAGACAACCTTAACATTTTCCCAAAGTGCTCTTTTTGCAAAATAAACTGGTGTATTTTTGTAGTTCAGCTAATGAGTTAAGCACCCATCATGTCAACCAGATAAACAAGAATGAAGACAGCAATATCAGAGCAGTTATCGTTCCCATTTTAAAGATTCCATTTATATAACACTTTTATCAACAAACACAGATGGCCTGTGTACTTGATACATTCCAGATAGATATTAATGTGGAATGAGCCTCAGGGCATCACTCCTTAAGGCTCAGACCTTCCCTTTCAAGGAGAAAGTCAGAAGTGAGTAAGGTTGTCATATGTTTATTAAACACTCTGTCCCACAGACCACACATTCTGCTTCCAGAAGAGCCCTGTCCACATACAGGTGTGTACTCCAAGGAGCAAAAACAGTGCAGACAGAGCCAGTCAAAGGCCTTTCCCAATTACCAGGAAAGACCCATGTGACCAGCCCTTTTGATGTAATACATATATCACAATGGCATATAATTAGACCACTGTCAAGGAGTCCCACACTGTGGCAAGTATGCAGAAGAAATAGGACCAAATAAGAGGGTCTATAATGAGGTGATCAGGAAGACATCATGTTCAAAGAAGGCCTGATTAAGAGGAAGAAGGGAGGAGCACAATATGCCTCAAACCCATAAGCTGAAATGGCTTCATGGAATGTAATCAGTGGACAGATCTAGACTGTGTACTTAACAGTCAACTGGTAACAATCCTGCTCAGGCCCTACATTTTTAAAAAGTCTGCAACTATATGGGAGTTCTGTTATTCCATTCATTTTTACAGAGCTTATGCAGGAGACACTCTCAGGGACTTAAGTCCAAAGCTACTTTTCCTAAATAAGTTGTGTATAGTTCCGCTGCAAGGCAACAGCAATACTGAAGTAATTCCAGGGCTATATCCCAGGGATTTAAGAAATTTAGCAAGCCACAGCATTACATACCCTACTAACCCTCTCTAATCAGAGATACAAATAATTAATTCAACATTTCTTCAAAGGTCAGGAAAAAACCAACAACTTAAAAGTATAAGCAAACTGAGCTTAAGCCAAGATTCTACAAGAACTGTACCTAAGCTCTAAAAGATCTTATGGAGGCAGAAGTAATATATAAACCACCATTTAGTTAAACTTGCCCCTTCGTTGCCTTCTCAAGATAATATACATTTACCAAATGACGGTTCAGGTGCTTACTGTATTCACCTTCTTTTTTAAATGAACGATCACAAAATATACACACATAGTTCTCTTTTGTAGCCTTGGTTTCTGTCGTTTCTTGGGATGGTTTCTGACCTGTTTTTTCTTGTGCCGTCCGAGCACCATTTAACCCAGAATCATCACTGCCTTCTGATATGTTGTCACTTATATCACTGCCATCATGACTGTGGATGCCCTCATCCTCTTCGATTTCCTGACTTTCATTCACTACTGTGCTCTTGGGTGATGCTGAAGTCAGGTCTCCTTTGGGGCTTTGCTCGTGTTTTTCTGGCAATTCTGATGGTAGAGCTCCTATTGGGTCTATAGCCTGCAATTCTTTTGTAGAGCTGCCATCTTCTGCATGGGGTTTAGTCACAGTTTCCATCTCATATACTTGCGTCTCTTGTATGACATCTGGATTAGACACCATTTCTGTTTCACAAGTTTGTGTTACCTCAATATTTTGTGCCAACTTTGGTAGAGTGTCTTTTAGCACAGCTCTCTCTTCTTCCATGTTTGCATCTGAACCCATAGAGGTGACACCATTCGCAACTGCCAGCTCTATTCCAATTTCATTCTGAGGCACAGTTCTTGTAATCTCTACTTCCATGGGCATTTCTTGGTCTTCTACCTCTATGTTTTTTCCTACATGCTGTGCAGGCAGCAGCTTTCCATCAGGCATGTTCTCCTCAAGGATAAACTGCTTCTCTCCATCATCTGAAGAAACAGGCTGCTTCTCATTGTGAGGATCATCAGATGTCTTAGTTTCCTCCTTCTGTAAAAGAGTTGGTGCTTTAAGGATTGGATCCTCACTTGTCATTTCTTCACAATCCGGCTTTTTGTTATTCTTACTAGGCTTACACTTTAGATACTTCTTTTTTTTGTTTTTCTTAAGGCTAGAATTTTGCTTTTTGGTGACCTCCAACTTACTTTCATCTTTCTGAGAGCCCTGACATTTGAGAGACTTTTTCTCTGACTTCTTTTTCTTTTTTGCTATTAAGTCAGTGTCTGTTACAAAATCTTCTGTCAAAGGAATGGTATCTGCTTTTCTTTTTGCTTTCTTTATTTTAACAGTTTTCTCAGTCATTTTCTCAATTTTCACACTTGCTTCCTTGCTTTCAGAACCACTCTTGCGACTTCGTGTTGTCACCTGGCCTGCACCAACACCACTGGTTTGTTTCTTTTCTTTTGATGTGTTGTCCTTTTTCTCTTCTTTTACATCTCTCTCACTTTTCTTTTCGCTCAACTCCTTCATTTGTTCTTGTTCCATTTTGTTATTATCATCACTAATGTTTTCCGAAGTGTTAACTTCACTTTTTTTGGTCCGTAGCCTTACTTTTGAGACATCCATGGTGATGTCACAACAATCGGGATGTCTGGATTTGATGTGATACTGCAAGTTACACTTCTTAGATGCAGCGTACTCACAGACTGGGCAAAGAAACTGCCGTGGGCTGACATGGAGCTCAACATGCTTTTTGAAGTTGCTTCGGTCAGCAGTTTTGTAGTCACAGTGTGGGCAGGTCAGCGGTTTTGGACCATCGTGAACCTGTCTTGCATGTCGAGTCACTTCATGCTGGTTTGATGCCACATAGCTGCACTGTTCACATTTAAACGGCTTCTCGCCTGAATCAAAGAAGGGAGGAAATTACATAAATTTGTTGCACAGCTACAGATTTCTACAGCTCTTCATGCTTTTTTTATTTCTTGAACATAAAAATCAATTGATTTCACACATAGCACAGTCACGAATACAACAAAATACATAAAATAAGGAAAGAAAAATATACATGCAAGCCACAACTAAACCACATATTCCATCTATGAAAAATACATACCAGGAGAGATCACTCTACAGTAATATTAGCATTTGGAATCCAAACCAAACTGGTCCATTGAAGGCAGTGTAGAAAAATGGAAATTACAGATGAATATTTGTCTTATACATATATTATACCACAGCCACATACCCCAGAATTTATTATGTTTATAAAGTTAAAATGTTTTTGCAATGCTTAACCCCCAAACACCACACCCAGCAATCGCATATAACCTAGTTCCAGAAGACAAACACAAAGTGTTGAAGATATCGATGGTTCTAGCTTTATTAAGCTCAGGACACTAAAGGTGAGTGCATATTAGCAATAAAAGCATGTGTCAATCACATTAATCCTTACTGCAGCAACTCAACTTCAATTGTATTCTGAAATAAACTAAACATGCACTACCTGGAAAATATTTTTGAGATTAAAATTAATTTATTTTGCTAAATTTGTTGTGCCTGCACATTTCTCTGCATCATATTTTGCTGACTTCCCATCCTTGCCTAAATCCAAGACTGTTAATGTCAAAATGCCTTAGCATTTATCTCAATGGCACTTCAATACAAGCAACTGCAACATGTGTATTTCCCCAGAAGGGTCTCTCCTCTCTTCTTCTCTGAACTGATCTTTCACCCAAATCGGTGAAACCAGTTGAGATGAGGACCAATTAAATTGAATCCAAAAGACAACACTCTGTACAGTGTGGTGTAGCAGACTCAAGAGACATGGATCTGAATCCCCACTGAACCTACAAAAACTTGCTGGGGGGATGCAACTGGTAGAACATTCTTGAAATATCCCACTTACCTTGAAAGCCCCCATTAGTCAGTTCTGACTTGATGGTGCATGACATGACATAACACATCTGGAGCAAAATCCCTTCTAACAAGTTGTGTTGTCTAAGACTCTAGCAGATAACCAAACAGCAAAGGATGCAGAGGCCAACAAAGAAGCAAGGTACAGTGGTGCCTCGCTTAACGATGTTAATTGGTTCCCAAAAAAACATCGCTAGGGGAAAACATCGTTAAGCGAAACACCATTTCCCATAGGAATGCATTGAAAACCGGTTAAATCGTTCCTTAAGCGAAAATCCCATAGGAAACATAACTAAGTGAAACAATGTTTCCCCCAAGGGAAAGCCATTCAAAAGCATTGAAGCCGGCTTCAGTGCTTTGGAATGGCTTTCCAATGTCTGTTTTTGCTCATTTAAGTGTCTTAAAATGTTTGAAACCTGTTTTAAATGCTTGGATTCGGTAGTGCACCTTGTGAAACATGTGCAAACTTAATTTGGCTCTGTTCTGAGTCTTCGTTAATTTTTGGTGATTTTTTGTTTTTCCCCTTTAAATCCATTGAACTGTCCGTTCAATGGATTTAAATGGGGAAAACAAAAAATCACCAAAAATTAACAAAGACTCAGAACAAAACCAAATTAAGTTTGCACACGTTTCACAAGGTGCACTACCAAATCCAAGCATTTAAAACAGGTTTCAAACATTTTAAGACACTTTTAAATGAGCAAAAACGGACATCGTTAAGTGAAATTCCCCTATAGAGAACATCGTTAAACGATGGGGAAATTTCCTCAAAGAAACCCATCGCAAAGCGAATACATCGTTAAACGAAGCAATCGCTAAGCAAGGACCACTGTACTAGATTAAAGAGGACGTTATACTAAAATAGTATACTAAAATGTCTTAATGCCAACTATCTTTACAACTATTTTTAATACGCCACTGTTTTATGGGGTTATGCTTTCCTACTGACATATAACTCTGCAATCTGAATTTTTAAACATATTAAAATAACCTATGGAAGATAAACTGCTTTAAGATAGGAATTTATTTTTATTTTTTTAAAGGAAAGAAAGGGAAAATTAGGTCTAACTCACAAGGTTTAAAAATCTTGCTGCAGCAGCTTCTAAAAATTATGATTTAACAAGACAAAATAAACACAAAATGTAAATCTTGTTTAAGCCTGTGACTTTAAAAAAAAGTAAGATCTGAGGAAACACTCTCCTATCACCCAAAGCAAGTTGAGTTTATATAATAAAAGTATCCTTAATTTTCATTTGGCTAAGTGTCATTAAAAAACCCTCAAGATTACTTAAAGTCAGGTTACTTCCTAGTAATGCTAGCTGAAGTGTGACCACCGCTAAATTACTATTATGTAATGGAGATTAGCAGCACAAAGCACAAAGCCAGCCAAAATTTTTCTCTTGGTCCACATAATGCTATATTATCACCACTTCAAAACATGTTATTTCAGGTATCAAATAAGTTGGCCTACACATGTGGCCTGCTCACACCTACATTGGTCAATTAGGCATGTTAAAAAATATAGCAACTATCTGGCTCAACACAGCTCCTTTGAATTCCATTTTTACCAACCTGAATGAGTACGCATATGCCTTGTTAAGTGAGTCTTCTGAGAACTTGAGTAGGGGCACATGGAACAGCGATAGGGACGTTCTCCTATAAAACAGATAAGAACAATGAATTAACTACAAAATATGTCATATTAAAACATTTAAGATGCTCATAAAATGTTGTGCTGCCTGTGAATACACAAATCTGAGAAATGTAATTTTGGGATAAAAGTGTTAGTAAATGTTTCTCATTAGAACTGAACATGGACTAAGAATCTTGATGAAACCTTCCTTTCTCAATCACTCCAATCTATCTGGCAAATACTTCAAATATAAATTATTCTTTGAAAAGCTTGCATTATTCTCCTAAAAACTATCTGTCTTGCTCTTTATATATAGACATTTCTGGATATATATAATTGACATCAGAGAGCTTTTTAAGAGGTCTTTGGAGCCAGCTTTAATCATGCTTAGAGTAAATTCACTGAAATCAATCCAACTTTTTTTTAATGTTAAAAATATATCATGCAGCAGGGTGACTCAATCTGAATGTTAATAGAACAAGAACAATCATGAGTTTTTTAACAGCTTGCATTTCTTTAAAGTACATATTTAAAGCGAGGCATGCCAATTATACTTGTAAATTTTACAACTATGTGAACCAAGTCAGTATTATCTCCATACTGCAGATTAAGATAGTAAGGGTCTGTTGCTAAAAAACAGTGTCTTGCCTAAGGCCACTTAGTCAATTCATAACTGAGGCAAAATTTTATTTGGGAACTTCCTGCCTCATATTTTTATGACAAATCCAGTCACCAGAACCACAGACCTCAGGCTTTCTGGCAAAGATAATCATAAGCCTTCCACATGCTTTGATTTCTGATGCAATCCAAAGATAAGAAACAGCATTTCTCCTACTTCCAACATTTTCCACACTGCAACATGATAGATGTCTAGTGCCTCCTCCAGCATTTTAAGATCGGATTTTCTCTCATGCATACAGGAAATCTGAGGACAGTAACCAAAGGAATCTACCATATTTCACTAGCTAAGGTGAAATAGCAGCTGCCTCCTTGCCAGGCAAGCCTCTCTAAAACAAGAGTATGTCTACTTATTTGTCATTACTTGAAGATAGCAACCATTTTCTGAAGGATATGTCAAATCCTCCTCCCTGCACCACTTTTCGTACTTCAGAGCCATACTGTGGCCAGACAACCTCACTTTGGGACTGAAGTGGTGGTGTTGAACCATGTGCTATTCGTAGGACAATCTCCAGATACCAGATGTCCTAGGAACTGGAAAGAGAATGCATGGAAAGAACAAACTGAAATAACTATTAAATCAAGCAATTGTTTGTGAACCTCTAGTGACTCTGCTTCATTGTTGTTGATGTTGTTATGTGATGGCAAGTTGTCTTTGACTTATGGCAACCCTATTAATGATCTCCAGAATGTCCTGTCCTCAACAGCCTTGCTCAGCTATTGTTAACCCATGGCTGCAGCTTCCTTTGGGGAGTCAACCCATCTCACATTTGGTCTTCCTCTTTTCCTACTTGGCAGCCATGCAGGGAGATTTCTCCTCCCTCCACCTGCCTGGAGTGGCCAGCCGAGCGGGAAGAGAGCAACGCTCCAAGTGTGATTAGAAAGACAAGCGGGATCAGCGCCACAGCAGCTGCATGGGGATATCCGTGTATGAATACCCCCATCTCTAAAGCAAAGTCATATCTACCTAGCTAAATCCAAATTCTCTTTACATAGTAAGGCATTAATACAGCACACTTAGCAGAAAATAAAATACTCTGTGTGCTTCAATATTCAATGTAGGTTGCTTAAAATGCACAGCAAAATCGATACTAAAAATTAAAATTAAGAGTCCTTTCTACCTCAGAAACCATCAGTTTGGAAAATGGAAGGATTAGAAAAAGGTTTTTTTTTAAATGTGCATTTCCTGCTTAAAAGGATATACAAGTGATAGCCAAATGAAATACAATTTTGAAGCAATTTAAACTGATGGCAATTAAATGCAACACAGCCAGTTTTCTTCAACCAAATAGCTTCCTTTAAGATCTTCCTTTGCGGATCAATCACTATACCATTCGTTGTCTTGCTACCCTTCTTCCTACTAGTGATCAAGAGAATTGCTTCTAATGTCACTCAACATATACAGTATCTCTCAACATAGTGTCTACCTCCCTGCAAAAAAAAAAAAAAAGCTTCCCACCAGTTACTTTAATTTGCTAACATCTATTTTTGACACAGGGCCAAACTACAGTCAATAATCAGGAGTGTAAATATGACAGTCATATAATCTCACTCTTCTGTCTGAGAAACTGGACTTGATCCATGAAAACTCACATTAAAATATACCAGTTAGTCTTTAAGATGCCACAATATTATTGTCTCTTGTTGCTGTCTTCTATGCTTGCACAGACTAACACAGGTAGTCCTGTGATAATTACACAGGTTGTCCCTGCATGCAGCATTTTGCTCCTGCATCCCAAGGCAGGTAATGTGGTACTCCTGATCCAAATCATAAACTTAGTGATGCTGATAAGGGCCACTGGCCTCCCAATGTGATTCTAAGTAACGCCTGCAACATAGCAGAATATCCCTATTCAATGTGAGTTTTGCTATCATGTGAATTAGAGGTATGCAACCCCAATCTGAATGACAAAAGATTCAGGCAAAGAGGCTTAATGTCACATAGTTTTAATCACAGTATTCAATTAACATATTACGGCACAGAAAAGTATATTTACTCTTTCAAATGATCAGTCTTCAATCACTTGAAAGTCTCTCACTTCTGTTGAAGTCTGATCCGCAACATCTGAAGGTATATCAACTATTTTTTTCACTCAGTAGCTGAATCAGCACAAGGAAAGACCACACTAATACAACAAATATCACTCAGCTGCTTATCACAAACTTAACCTTCTAACCAGCATTTTATTTGTATGTAGGAGAAAAAAATGAATCTTTTATATGCACACTCTTAAGGTAAGCACAATATACTCTCAAATTTACAGCAGCTCCACTGTTTAATTCAAAATACAAAGCTGCAAAAACAATCAGGCACTGTTCCCAGTTTTCTACATGCAACTACCTGCCCTAGCAAGTATCTCTGGGGAATGGGGAAGCTCTACACTAGTTTGGAACACAGAACTATCCACCTGAACATCAGCATAGAACCACCAATATTTGGACTTGGTTCCAATGCTGATGGAAACATCAGCTGTAGCAGTGATTCTTAAATCTATGTATATTGATTTGTAAAATTTAATAAGCAAAATACAGATAAGGTTACAACCTACATTTTAAAAGATTCAATGACACTACGGATGAATACGAGCAAATCTAAGAAAACAAACTTGAGGTCTGTAGTTGCCAAGGAAGTTGACTAAGAGATTAGGCAATAAATTTCATAACAAAAACAGGTTTCAATCATTTTTGAAGGTTTGATCATTTGGCAAGTTGTTGGTGCTGTTGTTGTCATGTGCCATCAATCAGCTTCCAACCTATGGTAATTCTGAGTCAATGATCATTAACAACACTTCTCCATCCTGAAAAGTAAATGCTGTGGTTTCCTTTGTTGAGTCAACCCACTTCATATTAGATCTTCCTCTTGCCTTCCACATTCCTTAGCAGCATTATCTTTCCCAGTGAATCTCATCTTCGAGACATGTCCAAAGTACAATACCTCTAATTTAGCCACACTACTACATAGTTCAAAATCAAGTTTGATTTATCTTTGTTATGTACCATCAAGTCACCTCCCGACTTATAGCAACCCTATGAATAAACAATCTACAGAATGTCCTGTCCTCAACTGCTTTGCTCTGTAAATTCAATTCAGTGGCTTTCTTTAGGAGCCATCTATATCATATTTGGTCTTCCTATTTTCCTGATGCCTTCCACCTTCCCAGTATTACTGTCTTTTCCAGAGAATCTTTCCTTCCCATGATGTGACCAAAGCAGAATAGCCTCAGTTTCAACATTTTTGCCTCCAGAGATAGTTCAGGCTTGATTTGATCTGGGACCCACTTGTTTGCCTTTCTGGCAGTCCAGGGTATCTGCAAAGCTCTCCTCCAGAATCATATGATTTAATCTAGAATACTCTTATTTGTCTTTCCCATGGTTCATGGTACCCATAAAGCTCCCATCCAACAATACATTTCAAATGAATCATTTTTTCTTTGTTGGCTTTCTTCATTGCCCACCTTTCACATATAGTGGGCACATTTTAAAATTTGTTATTTTTTTATCCATCTATATTTCCTTTTCAACAACTGAATGTGATGCCGTCCTGTCCCTCCAGCGCTGCCTGGGGGCCGTACTGCAGTGGATGCAGGAAAATGGGCTGAGGCTGAACCCGTACAAGATGGAAATGCTGACGGTGGGCGCCCTTGGGGGTGGTGG